TCAATTGTCGTTAACGAAATATGGTGAACGAAATAGGGGGTAGAAGGAAAGGGAAAAGAAAAGAGTGGGGTGAGATTACAAAGACGGTAACATATAAATAATTGATGAAACCTCGTTTATAACAGTGGTATGTAATTATTACTGTTAATATTATCATTTATTATTATTTACCATTCAATAACCAATATTATTCGACATTTACTTGCGCAGTAGATAACAAACGGGGTCACAAGTGCTATCACATTGCCATCTTGATTATGATAACCATATGATTGATACAAGATATCATTGTTAACCACTTGTTCTGTCCTCCTATTTTATGGCTGGTGGGAATATAATAATTTCATATTCAACGTTTATCTTGATCTACACCTAGCGGACAGACAATCACCCTACGATTGATTGTGCATGTTAATCTTGGGATCCAACACACGCACACACACAAAGAGTTGATCAGGTCAGGCCAAACGCTAAAATAATTGTTCTTTAATAGACAATCAGACATATTGTTAGCTTTATCCAGCAATGACCCAAGACGTACCCGGGAAAACCGGAGGAGTGAGATGATGAATGGCATTTGACAGATGCAAGAAGAAAGAGACATGATGGTATTGTTCGTAATGGAAGTCGGAGAATAGCATTATTGGAAGACTAAAAATAGGCTATTCGGTATATTGTTTCGTCACAAGAACGTAACTAGTTAATAAGCTTATCGTTCTGACAAACTGATTTGCTAACCCCACTCGGGGACTGGACATGGGTAGATTGATATACAATACCCGAGGGCTTGTGCGGATGGTACTTTTGTTCGTCAATATTGTGTATGTAGTGTTATTCACATGATTCAAATAAAGAAAAAAGCTCTGAAATGCCGTTATGATACATTCATCTATTGTCTATTGTCTATTATCTTTATCGTGAGAATGACTTGTGATTGGACAAACAAACTGTGGGAAAGGTAAAATATAACGTAAGAGTATATATGGGAAAGTCTCTGTCGCAAAAAAGAAAAATTGACATTAACGGAATAGACGATGCCTGGAGGGGGACGGACCTGAGTCACACATACTATATTAATTCCTGCACCTGGACTCGTTTCCTGAAATCGACGAAAAAAAAAAAAAGAACAAACTATGCCATTGTTGTAACTGATATCGTATAACTGATTCATATGTAAAACCGATGTTCATTGATTTGTTTGTTTGTTTGTTTATCGATTCTCCTTTTCCTCTCCGCTCACTTGCTCACTCGCTTTTTCTTTTGTCTACAAAGATTATATGATAACGGGATCGTTGATAATGTATATTCTTAGTTGTACCCACCCCTTGCTTGCCCTTTCGTTGTTGTCGTAGGAATGAATGAATGTATGCACATATGAATGAGCATTAGGAGTGCTTGGGTTTCATCCAACTCCGACATTTTACAAACAATAAATATGAATGATAAATAAATATACTGTATAATGTAACACACAATAAGAATAAAATTGATTACGGTAATAAGGTAAACAGCGTAATGTCCGTCAGGAGTAAAGGAGGGGAGTAGGGAGCACTGCAAACGGTTGGATCGAACCACTGAATTGTTTGATTTCTCGTATAATACACTGGATAATTATTATGAAACTGGGATTATCGGGTTTAATAATATTGCTTTCCACTCGTTGGTTGTCAGCCCTTTTTTTTTTCTGTCAATCAATGGCCGCTCAAAGCCACTCATGATCCATCTGGAAAACCTGTCATTTGCTGCGCTCATCCCCTATCTGTCATTAAAAAAAAATATAGTTGGGGGATGGGGGCGGTGAATCCTCATGTTGTAAATAATATAGTCGACTCTCGTGTTTGCTAATGGTTTTGAAACTATAAATACCAATGTAATACTCAAATCTGTATGTTGAACATGTGACTTATTATTAAGGAATAAATTGACATATTACATACATGATGTTATTATATTACATGTTACATTACATGCTTCGACTGTCACAGTAATATTGGCACATACAAAAAAAAAAGAATAGATAGTTACTCACTCAACAATATATCGGTTTCAAGTGTTCTAGACATTCTAGCTCGCAATTATTGTAGCTGCTTACTCTTTATTTTTTTAGCGTTTAGCCGAATCTGGAAACATAACAAAAAACCACAGACATTTATTGAAACAGCCAATTAAAAATCATCGAATTATATAAATGTGGTAAAGTTTATTTCATTTCTTTTTCTAATCAGTAATGAGGGCGTATTGATAATGATCTTGTCTATCATTTTAGTGAATGGGCGTTTTGATGGGGACCATGTTCAACAAATATATAATCTATTATATACAACTGTATGTGTGTACACACGCTTTGCATTTATTCAGCGGATCAAAGCAGTTTTTTTATTTAAATCTCTTGTTATAATGACTTTTTATCATTGTTATCATTTGATCAATATGGTGCATGTTCAATCAAATTCTTTGTCTCGCCCTCGGTTTTCTCTCTGTTTCGGAATTTCTATTATACTCGATTATTTATACTAACTGGAACGAAACACATCAGGGGAATGAGGTATATTAATTGCAGATATTCCAAATCGGCAACTTAAACTAGGTAGATGAATAGACTAAAATAAATTGTATAAAAAAAGTGTTAATATTGTGGATACATAGTCCCACCGTTGTATCGTTCATTATAATGATACTATAGATAGGTGATTGTACATCGTACGTGCACATAATCCTATTGTATTAAACATAGTGGGAACAAATTCGATGTTAGTTCTTAAAAGTATCCGCGTTACTTTGATATTACGTCGCAATTACGGAGGATCTAAAGTGTGAGATTTAACTCACACAGAAACGTTCTCTCTTTCCTACTCTCACGCAAACAGAATTTGTCTCCACGTGTCCCTATTTGCTACTACTTCTTCGGTATACATCCATGTGCACATTACATCAATTGTATACACACATTAACGTCCTCGCGTTTTCTGACATTGACCAATTTTTTTTCCATCTATCTGCATGCGATGCGCCTTCAACATATTCAGCCTCGTCACTCATGCTGCCCGTTTTTCAGCTGCATTAATGTTTTTTTTTTCAACAAACAAAGATGTTTTGGCATTAAACAAAGAGCTACAGGTAAAAAAAAAATAATCTGATACATCACAATATAGTATAGTAAATACACACGAAACTGAGCGAAACTAGATTTAGGAACTAACGTGGGAAACAAAAATATAGGAATAAGGATAGTCAAATAGCTTTCATGTGGAAATTTGCGGCTAGGTAATACATTGACGGGATGGTGAATAATATTTTAATTGCTTGACATGTTATTGGACAATTCGGATCTTGGGCTAATATAATAAGAAAAGCGTAATATGTAATCAGTTACTAGTGTGTTCTTCCACCAACCAATCATAAATATACGATGCTATGCTAGTTTATATTATCCGAAAACGAGAAACGCCAGCTATATATAATTGCTTTTTATTCCCAATTTGTGTCATTCATGTCAATGACTAATATCTCTCCAGCAGAAAAACAACTTACATGGTTTGCATCCGAGTTGTAACATATTTTGACTACAAAAAAAAATGTTAATCTGTATTACGATAAGTGACAGAAATATCTGGTTACATACCTATTGCGGTTTCTTTGAATGCGATAACGACACCGTACAAATCGACTTTGATTGGTGTATTTGTAACACGGTAGGACATTATCTCGTGATGTTTGTGGTCATGTTTATGGTCATGCGCTGATTAAGTATGTCTAATCAACATAAATTGGACAACCCTTCAACTATCCGCTAAACCTTACATGTATTCGTGGAAGTGCTACGACAAACAACAGTATAATTAGGCCGTCTATTAAAAACGTCGAGTCATATCGTTCGTCTCTAGTGTAGCCGATATCATAGCAACTAATACGATGCATGTCTATGTTACATTAAGAGGTCATTCTAAATGTGGCTGATAATAATTACTGATATGCAACGATTACCAATTTGCCGGTTATAAAAGTATATATATTAATAAACATTATAATTTATGAAGAACATTATTGGTAACTATCGGATCTTGGTGATTTGACCGATAATACACAGTAGAAAATATACACACATAATTAAAGACTTTGAAACGAACGCTGTAAAGTAAAATAGAGCGAATACTGGAATCAACTGGTAAAACTATTAGCAATAACGTATAAATAATATATATATCTATAACCATTATTATTCGTTCTATTATTGATGCTGTCAAGTCAGTACTAGTTCAAGTTCTTTATTGTTTATGAACAAAACAATAGCTACTGTCGCTCAGTATACATAAATAATTTATATAGTGTTTATTACACCAAAAAATTTTTTATATTATTATAGTACAAATCAATTATATGTAGCTTATTTGGTATTATCCTTATTGGTAATCGATGGTATATAAAGAGAGGCCTGTTGGCATTCGGAGAAATCGTACAGTGTTGAAAATACCAATTATTTACTACAACGATAGTAGAGGACATATCCTCGCCCTTATTATTATTATTTATCCTTTCCATTTATCCATCTCTCGGATTAACATTCGTCGATATTCCCTTCAACTGAAAGTTTTTCCGTTTCAGTTATCGTAATTATCGAGATAGGATTTCCTGGATTTCCTAACCTTATCCCCCCCCCCCTCCGTCTTGTACGATAATTCATACAACTCATCATCATCACCATCTACTATATATATACTCTTAATACCAACACCAGCGTAATTGCGATCGTAACGACATATAATTTATATACGCAAGTTGTTCAATCAACGAATCAAACCAAAAACGCATTAATACTGGTATACTCTTCTCCGGTTTCATTTAACCAATAAAAACCGCCGTTACGACAATTTACAAGAAAAAACGCTTAAGCAAATCCAACAACCAACTCAATCAACCTTTTCCCGCACACGCCGGATAACAAACTTTTAAACGACACTTGCAATTCTCAGATAAAGGACAGTCCAGAAGTAACTCCAATCATGACTTGCGCACTCGTTTACAGTGGTAGCATCGAAACGCTCGGTGGAGAAGCTTTAATGTGTAAGTAGCTATCATTATTATGGTTTAGAGAGGGTTATAAAAGTCATTCAGGTCATCGGTTGTTGTGGTTCATTTGGTCATATGATACAAATGTCGGTCATTCCCTCTATTGGTAATTGAAAAATCTTTTAAATATTAGTATTACATAAACATTCCCATCTAAGAGCGTAAACAAAAATCATCTCAAACAGTTACAAACAGGCGGAGAATGGGAAGAGGGGGGTTGGTGTGTTTGTTCTCCTTACAGTCCAACATTAGAATATTTTGTATTATTACATTGGTTAAAGCGAGGAATGATCTTCTATTCATTCATAAATCGTTCGTTTATTAATTAGTAACACAACAGCTTATTATCAAATTATATGGGATTAGTAATCTCCGAGTCTAACCCAAAATCATATGCTAACCATGAACTTTGTTACCGTAAATCTTTTTTTCAGCATTCACTGCAGGCTCATGCGACTCGGTTCTCCAATGCTCCCAACGCTCACTCAAGAATGCCTCCTTGCCCGACCTTATGCATTTCATAAGAGAAATCACGGCCAAAGCCAAGGTATCGACAACGACGATGGTAATCGGCCTGATCTACATACATCGGTTGAAGAAGATACTTCCCGCCACCGCTCGTGGGGACTTTGATACTCCACACAAGATATTCCTTTCGACTATATTGGTTGCCAGTAAATTCGTTTGCGATGAATCACTCCAGAACAAGATGATCGCAGATGTCACCGGTGGTCTGTACTCTGTTAGGGATGTAAACACGATGGAGAGAAGTTTCCTCGGATTGTTAAAGTATGACTTGTGGGTATCGGGTGAAGAAGTAAAGGCTTTTCTGGAAGAGCACAAGCACGAGTTGGATTTAGGTGCTGATTGGAACATGGCTCGAGAGGCATGAATCGGCTTTATCTGAAAGATGGGGTTGATGATTATCATTACATCTCCCACACAACATCACTTCTCCCCCGCAACTTCTTGGCGGTTTCTTTTCCCATCATCAACATTTTCATTTTAAGCCTTCACTTATATTCGACATGAACCATCGATTATCGAAAATTATGCAAATTTTTTTCAACTTTTTATTCGAAACACTCTTATTTTCGATTACTCAGACATTCGTCGTCAATCCATCATATCTCTGATTTTTGTTTCTTCCATCCCCACTTTGTTGGACAATTATTACTATTAACAACATCAGCATCAACATCACCATTATCTTTTGTGTTTCTTCTATTCCCACCCTTTTTACCATTAATCCATTCCCAAACAATTTCAAATTCCACCATTAATTCCTTCTGCATACACATATACGTATGTGCGCATGAATAACTAATTCGGGATCCTTTTGATTTTTTGGCAAAAAAGGACGAATATAGATTATTAATACATAGAACCAAACTCTTTTTAATCATCCCCGCTCCTATGTAGAATTTTCGGTATCGTTTTTCGTTACCATGTATGTAGCTTTTTGTGATAATTATACATCACAAACAGATTTTTTTTAATGGTTTCTTTTTTTCTTTCTTTCCAGTTTTTTACAAGAAACTGACTAGTTTTTTTTTGGAGGTATATCATAACGAACTACAGATTGTATGGTTTTAATCTTCTTTTTTGTTAGGGATTTTAATTTGACAAAGGACAATCAACTTCAATTATCAGAAGTCTATTTGCGCACGCGAGATTGTTAGTTTTATCGGCGTATATCTTCAATTTGTACATTTTTAACTCCATAGACTGGCCAGTCTCTTGCTGTTGACTGTACTTGTAAATAATATAGACTTTCTTTTCTTCTTTTTTTTTTGGTAAATATTGAAACGTTTTCTCTTTTTTTTTTTCTTCTCTACGAGATTCTTTCGAATGTTTCCATCGGTTTCACATCTAATAAGATTTCTATGATTGATGTTAAAAGAAAGATAAAATAAACCGACCAAACACCTAAGTTCTATCAATTCGACCAGAAACGTTATTGTTGAAAGAGTTATTTGGGGGGGGGGGTGAACATTTGACCGCCTCAGTCTTTTGTAAATCGAAACGCGTTGTACAATTCTTCCGCATTAATATAACGTACTCTTGACATACGCATGTTGATTATTAATTGACAGCGCAAAAATAACGTCCATCAATTTCCGGCGTTAGGAGTTTCGTCAGTTCGTGATGATAATGCTTGCAAATACGTCAGGAAATATCTTATTGAAAATTTCGTAGAATAGTAAGTGATACAGATTATCGTCACAGTTGATGGGAACGAAGCATCACCCGATGAACCTGGGTATTTTCCGACCATGTATCAAAAACGGGAACTTTGAAAATTTTCCGATCATCAAAAAAACGACAATAAACAAGGCCTTACAATGGGCTGTCAGCCACATGACCCAGCCACACCGGAAATTTTTGGTTCAGGTGATCAAATATCTACTTTTTCGGCCAGTTCATGTAATACATGCAATACCACTTTAACGATGAATTGTTTGTTAATGAGTTTTCGTAACACATACTAAATCCAAATAAGGGTAATAAGTTGACAGGTTACGTTAATCACATGTTTGTTTACTAGACATTTGGTCAGGAGACCACCTCATAATCCCACAATAATTGTCTGCGCCTGCTTTTGTGGGGTACAGCATTTCGAATGACATCAACTATACGTATGAACCGACCACAAAAAACCAGAATAGCTGCGACTTTTTCCCCTCCCCCTCTCTACACAGTGGAAGAACAATCACAAATAGCAGACGAGAAAAAAGGGAGTTTCTTTTTTGCAGATTGCAGATTGCCCACAAAGAAACTTTGAACACATGACGAATGATCGTCAACCCCACTGTTTTGTAATATGCACCTCCGAAATCGTAATCAGGAAAGAAATTGAAAGAAAAGCCGAATCAAAAAACGTGGTCAGTCATGAGACCTTTTGGCTCACATGGACCATGTATATCGTCAGAGCGCATCGGCTGATAAACTAATGGAACACGATGGTGTGCCACTCAAAAAAGACCGATTACGGTAATCTCCGAATAATAATACATGTCACATGATTTGTATGCCCGATTTCGATTACCTGACTTTGGAAAGCGAATAGCGGTCGGTGAACTCTTCCTTATGAACAAGTTCTTTCATTCAACTGATTCATGCGGTATTAATATAGAAGATGTAGCAAGGTATTGAAATATTAATAATGATCTTTGTGAAAGTATTATTTTATTCTTCTTTCGCATTCGACTTGTTTACATTGATACGTTGGCTCAAACACGCACGTTATGTAAGCTGTTTACCAAAGCCCCAATATATTAATATATTTACCTGTGGTATTAGAAAATCACTTTTGCGATTATAAAGTAATGACAATATATCTGGTTATTTATTTACGTGTTATAGTCTAGTTTCTTCATAAGATCTATATTATCAACATGCGATTTCTGATGCAGACGCAAATTACTGTATTATAAACTAAAGGCTTTGCAACAAGCATTATCACACACAGTTACGAACAGTTTAACGGTTTGAATCTTTCGCACTTCTGGTATTTAATATGTGAAGTCATTAATTCTGATTAGATGAGAAAGAAGCGCTTAGTATGAACGTTGTCAACAACAAAGTACAAGTATCCGTTAAGGAGTATAAACTATAACATATGCCAAGATTTTTGACAATTATATAGTCGTAAAAGCAATTATAAACCCATTTTTGAATATTAATGGTTTACGTTTTGATAAATTAAAAAAAAAGAGAGAGAGAGAGAGACGGGGTTAAATGCAGACGCCAATGCGGTGTTTACCAAATACCGTTCATTAAGCCTATTACCATGTCGCTTTTCTCAAATGTATACACTTCACTAGAGCAGGATCACTCTGTGATTGAACATTAAAAATAGTCAATAGGTAAATAATTTTTACAATTGGCCATGGCATGACAAGTAAGTTGACTACAATATCTTTGTATGTAGTGTGCCGATTAAAAAGTCCGGGATTACTTCTTCGATTTTTATAATTGATCAAGAATACACTCCGCAACGAGATGTTCTATTACCAAAAAATTAGAATAACGTTAACGCACGTTATATTTAATTAATGTTCCTACAAATTTATTATGGGTTAGGTGGTAAAATTCTAACTCATTCAGGGCATGTCTGCGAGTAGAAAAGAAATTTTTTCTGACATCAGCATTTAAAAAAATAATTTACTGGTCACTGTTTTATAAATTAACATTCAGCATTCACGCGCCATTTAATCAACTAAATATCTGCCGAGAAGTGTTCAAAACTTTCAACTAACGTTACAAAATACCTGTTTTATTATACTTTAGGTAAATATGTTTGAACAAAAAACTAATCTGAACATGAGTAATTAATGGGTGTGGAGGTTATTTGAATATTCAGGACGGGGAAACCGGCCCCAATGAACAACAGTTTACTATTAAAAAATTGTAAAACTGTTATGAAACAACTTTCTTCTGCACAGTGGAGAACTTGGCTTGGCCAACAAAAATATGCGTAATCTTGAAATAATTGTTCAATCTAATTATCAGCAGATAATTTTAGTAAATTATCTGGAACGTTGTCAGCCTTTCAAAAATTAGAAAAGTCTTGTATGAAGCTGGATCCAATGGTTCAGAAAACTGTTTGTATTACTAAAGAACCGACAAAACTAATATAGTAGTGTCAAGAACAAAGAAATTGAGCAAATGAAAATTGAAAAAAAAATATAGAGTAGAAGATCTTATTTTACGTTGTTTCAATTAATGTTATGATTCGAAGTTTGGAGTTTACTAGAAAAAAATAATAACTGTACAGTTCCAACTGTTAAGTATAATGTAACTGTGTGAGGGTTGAACATTTTGTTTTAAAATTATAATCAAGGAAGTGTTTATAACTTTTGAGTCAGTACGTTACTATCGCGCTTATGCGACTTGTACTTGATGTTATGAATATTGAGCAAAAATAAAAGTTTGCATCAACGATAAATATTTTTAAAAATTATGTTAAAAATTTAGCCTCAATAAACCCCGTTTGATGCGGCTTATCTTTAATACTAAGCAAAAAAAGTTTGTCTATCAAAATTTCTGACAGTTTCGTTATCGTTAACTCGTTTGCAGTCTATTTTCGCGTTTGTTAGTAAAAAAGTCAACCGGTTTAAAGTTTGAGGCACAAAGAACAGTCTTTGGGCAAACAGCATTCAGAAACCTGCTGAAATTATACGTTTAACAGGTTTTCCGAAATTCACAGTGTATGATTTAGTCAATCGACTTAAAGAAAGGTCAAGTGTTATAAC